TGAAAAAAGACCAACAGCAGATGAAATTTTAAAAATTATTACTTTTTGGAAAGATGCAATTGAATCTAATATTTCTAATTATTCTGAAGAACAGCTTGATGAATTAAAAGAAATAAAAAAAATATTTGAGGAAGCAGATAAAAAGCCTTTTAATCCTTCAACAATCATGGCAACCATACATCCAAATGCTGTTTATACAAGTAGATTATTGAATTTTACAAATCTTCCACAACCTGTAAACTCCAATAAAGTTACAATTATTAGTAATAATAATGGTAATTATCTAATTTATTGTAAATATTTAATTTAATTATTTATTATTAATGATATTTTAAATTATATAGAATCTAAACAAATTGAATTAACTATATCAGATGATTTTTAAATTAAAGCAAACTAGCCATCCTTGTAATTGAAGTGACCTCTTAGTATTATTTATTTATTATTTTATTAGTATTTTTATATTCAACATTTATATATAATGTTTTAACATTTTTATCATCTATAAACACTATAAATAAATAATGTGATAAAAATCTCCAAATGTATACTTATGCTTTACTTTCAAAACTATCATTAAACAATTCCTTATACTAAACTATATATCTTTAGATTTTGCACTATATATCCTGATCACACTTCTTAGTGGGTCCCTTCTAGCCGTTTTCCTCTTTACCACCAAGTCAGGTACATATCCAAAAATTACTAAATAAAATTCATTAAATATTACCTCACTAAAAAAAAAGAAAAGAAATAAAAAATAATAAAAATAATAGACAAATATAAATAAAATATGAGAAATTTTATTATGCTTGAGATTAGTATGAATTCATTATTACAAAAATATAAATTTGAAGAATACAACAAGGACAAGGACAAGGTTGAAGACAGTGTTATTTATTAAATTATTATGATTATTTTTGATGATGATGAAAATGATAGTGATGGAAAAACCTTAACTAGCTAAGAACTTAATAAGCCCCAGTTGATGAAAAACCTTTTCAGATGGTACTAAGCTTGCCAGTATTATTATTACTACTACTATCATTACTATTATCACTATTTACTATTGTTATTATAATATCTCACCTCTAATGGTTCAAATTATTGGTTTTATTCATTATGAATTTGGTTATTCAAATCAGATGTAGATTTTGAAGATGAAATTAATAAAATAGTGGAAGATAATAACAACAACAACAAATTAGTTAAATTAGTTAAGCAAATGAAAATGAAACACAAAGAAAATTTCAATAATAATAATTTAATAAAATTATTTATATCAACTATCATTACTAATAATAATTTATTCAATTTCTTGAAGAATCTCAAAAAAAAGAATCTTTTTGTGATAAATTAATTAGATGTTTCTTTTTTTTTTTTAATTCACCAAAGGTTCAAATTTGTATTATATAAATATTGAATAAAAGAAAAGAACATTTTCGATTCATCAATTAAAGTTTGTAATTTTTACAATAAATAATTTGAGATGTGGATTGCTGATACAAGGTGTGAGATATTATTCTAGCCAATAATTGAGTCTAGCTCTGATTATTAGTGTTTTTTTCCTCTATTTTAGAAGAGTTTTTCTTTAAAAGATTTATATATTAAGATGAATTTGTTAGTGTGTTTGGAATTTTTTTTATAAAAATAAACCATCTAATTTAACTTATTAACCTTTTTTCTCAAAATCTTTTAATCCAAAAATTTTTTTCCAAGTATAATGAGGAAAATATTTTTTATTTTGAATCCTCATCCATTCAAAATCATCATCATCCAAATCTGATGTGAATTCCCATAACCTTTCAACTTCAAAATCTGGTATTGAATAATCAATTTGCCAAATTTCTTCTCTAACATGTTTAGATCTTTCACGGTCATCTTCCATTCGTTTAAGTATGTCATTATTTGGTAAATTATTCAACATTAATGTTGAAGACTTTAGTTGTTGCTGTTCTTGTAATTCTTGGTTTTGTTCTTGCACTTGTTTCTGTTCTTGCAGGTTGTGCACTTTGTGTTTGTGATTGTTGTATTTGACTATTATTATTATCATTGCCATCTTTATTATTAATAATATTGGTTTGATTATCATCCTCATTGTTATTGTTGCTTGAGTTTTGATTATTGTCAATACCACCATCATCTTTATTATCACTACTATCTCCATGATCTCCATGATCTTCATTTCTATTATTATCTTGGTTATCATGTTTAATATTAATAAAAATTTTTTTATTAAACCAATTTTTTTGTTCCAATAATATTTTTTCTGCCCCATCCAGCATTTTCTTGTCAAAATATCTTTTTTTCTTCCAACTCAATAAGATTCTTCTAGTGTTACTAACATTAATGATCCCATTTGGACCACTTGTAATATCCACAATTAATTTATTTAAATCTTGTTTAATAAGTTCAATGTATCCTTTGAAATTTATAGATTTTGGATTCTCAAGTAAAGCATCAATGAAATAAAGTAAATTTAATCTTGGTAGGATGGTTGATTGGTCCATAACTTCCAATATACATCTATATAAATCTTCATAACAACCTTTATTTTGAATTGCATATTTTACACACTTTTTGATGTAAGGTTGTGATGCATTAAGACTTTTTAGATGACTTATAAATTCTAATCTCACTTCAAATGGGTCCATGATGAAAAATGTAATATTTATTTATGTGAACAAAATGGTTTATTATTATTATTATTATTATTATTATTATTATTTATTATGACTTTTAATGATTTAATAGATCAATAGATTATTTAAGTTGTTTATTTTTTATATGAAATATATATATAGTTAAAAAAAAGAAGATATATTTATGAACCAGGTTAGCCAAGGTAATTTTTATCAGTTATTCCAAATTCTTATAATAATCTCATTATTAGCTGATAGTATTATTAATAATTATTATTCTATTTTATAATTCAAACAAACATCCACAATATTTTCATTATCCTGATTAATTAGTATCTCTAGAAGAAAAAAATCAAGATTGAATGATGATCGCTATTTAATACATTTTATAATACTATTAGTTAAATAAATTATTGATATTAATTATTGACTTTAAAAACATACCTTTTGTATTTACATATATAAAATCTAAAATGATTAGAAAAAATTTTAAAGATCTAAATTATTAAGTAATGCGTAACGAATATGATTGATTGTAACATGTTGCATTAGTATTAGTCTTTGAGAAGATCATCACGTGACCAAGTCGTGTGAGAAATTATTTATACTAGGAATATTATACAGGTCACTCCTGTTGTATGGGACAAGCAAAAAATGTCTGTCCTTATAACGGAAGTTCATAAAATCACGTGATTCATAAAAAAGGCTATAAACAAAATCGTTTTATATACATTAATAATTTTATTTCTTTTTAGTGTAAATATTGGATAATTCATATCTTGTTTGAAAATGCCACCAAAAAAAAAACCAATTATGAATAAATATTCCTTATTGTTAAAAATGCAAAATACTTCATCACAAATCAATTTCTTTTTTTTGAAAGTGTAGGTACTTTATAATCATCTAAAAAACAATTTATAAAATTTTCTTTATTGTATAATTCAAAAAACGTAAAGATACTTTATCATTGAATTGAAAATAATATTAGTAATCAAAATTTATTGTTATCTATTAATAAATTTGTCATAGTGATCGGTGGGATCTGATTGATTCTCCCTGAGGCTGCTTTTCTATATATGAAAATAAATTCGAAATTCGTGTCACATGAAGTTTTTTTAAAATATCTCGTGATTTTTATAATAAACTCGAACTTC